GATTAACAAATTGCTTAATCAATGCTCAGAATTTCTTTATTTGAAAACAAAGCAGAATTTAGCGAAATTTTTTTACTCACCCTGAATACGAATTCTTCATTCCAAGTCGGGTTGAGAGTCTATACGAATTTTTAAGATAATCGAAATAAAATAAATAAAAGTAATTTATTTGTTTTTGCTATATTTTTAATAGATTTATTAACAAATCAAATTTAGCAATTTTGTCGAGCGTAATGATTAATGATTGTTGAAAACGACAATAAAATGATTGAAAAAATAAATATTTGTATTAAATAGTTTACCTTCTTTTTGGTCTTCGTCAAAACTGAATCTATATTTATATCACCATTAATTGTATTTAAATCAATCCTTACATATGGATCACTATAAGAAAATGGAGAGTTATATTTTAACAAATGGTAAATGAGTCGGTACTTGGTAATTGATATTCACTATTCAAAAATGTTGAAAATACATAATTAGACATTGAAAATCTAGTTTAGTTTTTAGCCTGGTACCCCTAGAGTTTTTGTTATTAAACTATTTTAAATTATATATGCTCCTCGCATTCCCTTTTTATGGAAGTAAATGCACAAGACCATAAAAAAGATTATTAAAAGTCAAAACTTGCACTTTATTACACTAAAATTATGTTATCTGTATCTAAGATTAAAAAAAAAAATCTGATTAAAAATGAAAAATTCGAAGAAAATTTGCTGATTTTTCTTTTGAATTTTGTACGAAGTTTGAGTCTTCGAATTCTGATGGTCGTGGTTATAGCATGATCCATATCTATATATATATTTTTAAATTAACGAAAACAAAATTGCTTTGAAATTTAAAATTACTCTTATTTTCTATTCTCTATAAAATTACTCCTATATCTGTTTTCGAGTGTCGCTAACTTGGTACAGGATCTCCCCCTTGGTTTTAAATAGAAAGTTGCTTTCACTTAAAACTACAGGGGCTTAAAATTGTTTTCTTTAGTAATAAATTCTTACCTTGCTCCAAAAATGTCCTTTTTCGCTAAAGATTTTCCATTAATAATTATAATACGTAAATGGCATGTATCACTCGAGTCATTCTGAAATATACATAAAAATGTAGACAAATAAAAATAAGATTAGAATTTCACAATAAGCGATAAAATTAAACAATTTAGCCATGGTTTATAATAGATATACTGTTTGTTGTTACTGCAAATGCATTAAAAATCGTTCAGTAATCAAGTTATAAGTTTCTACTTCTAATTAGCATACTATTTCAAGCCTTTTCGCTGGAAATATATGTATTTTAGGTCTGTTTTCAAAAGATTGCTCCAATCCCCAGGTTATAGGCAAAATAGGTAAGCTTAATTCAAAATACAAAGGTATGAATATACATATGTACAACCCGCGACAAAACGATAGCACCTCAACATTCTGAACAGTTTTGACTATTTTTCTTTTGTTTGTTTAATGTTCATTAGTACAGCTCTTCATCAAACAAATGCCATATAAATCCAAATTTCAGACTATGTACAAAAAGCATAAAAATTCCTCAAACTTTTCATCCCAATTCCAAGCATTTTAATTTTAATTTCTAGGGTAATTTTTGGTATGCAGATTTATAACTTTTTATTTTCTAGTACAATAATGTGCAAGTTTGTAGTTGCTAAAAACCGCGTTGATTATTGATAATTTTTTTGCTGACGGTATTACCAATTTTCTTCCATACGAAGTAACTTTTTATATCGAAAAACGTCCATAACATCGTTAGAAAAAAAATTATCAAATATCAATGAGATTTTTTAACAACTTCAAACTGTCACTCTATTACACTAGATTTTAATACTTCATACCAAGAATTAATATAGAAATTCTAATTAAAATACATACATGGAATTGGGATGCAATCTTTCTGCGATTTTTAAAATTTTTGTACAAATTTGAAATTTACACTTACATATATGGTTTTTGTTAGATAAGGAGCTGAACTTTAATAAAAAATTAATGAACCTTAAAAGAGTCAAAAGAAAAGTAGGAAACCTGGGCTCGAATCGTCACATACGATATCGTACTACTCGTCACATAAAAATATATTTTTCGGATTATGACATACGTGATCGTACACTTTGTCCCATTTAGCTTATATCGACCGACGTATGTATCACGTAATTTTCTTTCGTATCGTTTTCGATATGTTACGATTCCAGCCCTGGTAAAAATGATGTGCTTTCTTTTGTTGCGGGCTGTACCTACAAGTAAAGCCAACTACTTAATGAAAAAAATAATATATATATATATATATATGTTTTTAATTTTACATTGTCAAAGCGGCTTTAAAAGGATTCATGTCTATGGCGTACTCATTTGGCCGAGGCTGTTTGGTAGAGCTTCTTGTTCTACAAATTGAGGGCCGGGTAGTTCTACTCCGAACGGGCAATTGTCTGCAGGGGGCCAACCGCTTAAAGAAACTAATTTTGGATGTTGTTCAGACTAGGGATCGAATCTAGGTTGCACCGAAAGTTATTCCTATATACCTACCACTGCATAGAGTAACCATTGGTAGGCCAATGACATATATAGACCAAACTGCCTTAATTAGGTTTGATGAAACTGGATTTTGAATAAACAAAGAAGTGGTCGATTTTAAGTTCTAAGTATTAAGTCTTTTGAGTGAATAAAGTGCCGACTTTTGTACAGAGCTGACTTTCAAAAGAAAATTAGTTAGGGCCTTTCTATATAAAGGTAACGATATGTATCTGAAGAAGCTGTTGTTTATACACCAGAACATTACCAGTATGCTCATTTGTACACTTGTTGCAAATTCCTTCTTTTTCAAGTGGTTGCGAAGAAAAGGGAGTGGATCTTATAAGTAATTCTTTATGTACCATTGTGAATGAATCGCAGTTTTCCACAAGAATCGAAGTCTTGCATTACAAAATAAATACTATGCTAAACCTTCAACGAAATAGTAAAATATATAATTTCTTGCTGTATTCAAATATATGACTCGTACTTACATCATGATAACCATGAATTTGATCATTCGCTGCCGCCTCAGCCATATTTATTCTATAATTAAGGGATTCTTGACAATGCAATGCAAACAATAAGTATCACTTATAGATTATTTAAGTCCTTCGTAAAACACTTTTCACACAACTGACGCACTCACATTAACTAACAAATGAACCACAAACATTAGTAATTTAATTAAAACCGAGCTTTATAAGCATGCATTTAATTAAAATTTTATTTTAGTATGTTTACAAAATTTTCTACGATTAATTGGATACTGTTGTATTTTATCGATAATGCCCGCAGACACTTCATGTTCATTGATGCCAACAAACAACTTTTTATACGAGAAATCTCTTAACGGAATGGTAGCAGTTAGCTCGCCTGGATTTTTTAAGATTTTACACAAACACGTCGCAAAAAATTACGCCTGCAGTTAATTAAACATTGCACATTTATTACTTTGGTTGTGCAAATTATTATCTGACAAACATCGCGGCGTACGAACACAACGACACAAAAGTAAACTTCACTTCTTGAACAACCTGTCAAATATGCATTTTTAATGCACTGTCACACGGTCAGTATTTATTAACGTGATCCAAGTATAGCGATATTTATTAACGGTGTAGCATACAGTATTGATGGATCGTGATCCATATCGCAAAATTTCTAAAAATTTT